GGGGGCCAGATTTCAAACTAAGAAGAAAAGTATTTACAAAGTGGAAGAACTAGTTTCTCTCTTCACATTACACCATATCCTTGCCAAGATGAACACTCCTGCTCGCTTCTAAGTGTAGCGAGGACAGGAGGTCTCCAAGATGCAGGGGTGCTGGGGTGGGGTGGGGTGGGGTGTTACTACAAGAGGCAGCCTTGAAACTACTTCCACACACCATTTAACCAACTTTTTCTGCTCTGCTCTTCCTACTTCTTCAAAGTCTCTGGACTCATGTGAAACCTCCTGAACTTCACAGTCAGTGTAATGACATAAACATTTGACCTTAGAAGAATTTAGAAGAACTCAGAAGAATTCTGAAGAGAAACCCGAGCCCATCCACTCAATGACTGTCCAAAGTCACAAGGACAGCCGGGATGGAGCTGGCCCCAGGACCCAGGCCATCTAACCTGCCTGCTTTTCCATTAACCACAGAACTAAAAACAGAATTTGTCAACATTTGTCTTTTTCTGTCTTGTTTTGATTCTTTGGTTTCTCCATCTTCCGACCATGCATTATTGTACTGTTATTTCATGCAAAATATTGAACGTCTTTAATTCCCTGTAAACTATCAACTCCTATGTCAGCCATACAGTCTAAGAAAGTGTACAAAACTTAGAGGATGTGTCCTACAAATATCCTAAAACTTGAATGCGGTGGAATGCATAAGCTTTTACTACACAGCATATAGACATAACCATTGTATACTAGTTCCTTATATTTTAGAAATGAAAAAATTCAGCTTAGTGGGTACACGTAAGGCTGCTCATTTGGAGACAGGACCTAGTTTTTGTGTAGACCAAAGCACGACGACTGAACCACATTGTATTAATTTGTTGGTGGATCAAATTCAGGCTGAGTCCCAGTCTCCAAGAGTCACTCCATTCTAGTTGTCAAGAAAATGACTGGATCATCGACTCTGACTTTGGAAAAGCTGCCTCTTGAGAGCCCACAAACCTCCGCCTGTAGAAATTCAAGCATTCAACAGGAATCGCAGCTTTCAATTTTGTATTTCTGCTTTAAAGGGCTGCCGGAAATGAGCACTGTGTTGTGAATGAGCTGAAATGCGGGGTGATTTTCTGGATGAACTGGCCAGAGCGAAGCTGCCCCTCCCTGTAAAACTGCCCTGACCTAACGCAAGAACATCCTAGAAGCACCCTCGCTGGGGACCCTAGAAGCACCCTCGCTGGGGACCCTAGAAGCACCCTCGCTGGGGACTGCAGGAAAAGCCATCTCGGTGGCCAAGGCCGCTTCTCACAAGGAGCGAGCCGCCGCACTTGCGAGGCCGGGTGGTGTCTGCTCGAGAGATCGCACGAATCGGCGCAAGGAAACAGACCACACGCATTCCAGCGTTGCGGGCGGGGGGCGGGGGGAATCACGCACATGGCACAGACTCGCGACAGGACGGAGCGCTCACCCACGGCCCCGGGGGACCAGGACTTACCCAATCACAATCAGCCCCAGGCCTGCGCT